CTCTTCTCTTCTCTTCTCTTCTCTTCTCTTCTCTTCTCTTCTCTTCTCTTCTCTTCTCTTCTCTTCTCTTCTCTTCTCTTCTCTTCTCTTCTCTCCTCTCCTCTCCTCTCCTCTCCTCTCCTCTCCTCTCCTCTCCTCTCCTCCTCCAGTGATGCCGGTGACCCTGGTGATACTGGGAAAGCATGAGCCCATTTCTCCTTATAAGCCTGGTCTCGTCGGTACCCACCACCCATCTGCTGTTTCCTCTGATGTTTTTAGGTAAACAGAAATACCTCTGTGCCAGCCGGAACGACTGCACCATCGACAAATTCCGAAGGAAAAACTGCCCATCCTGCCGCCTGCGGAAGTGCTACGAGGCTGGGATGACTCTCGGAGGTACTGTCTGAGTAACGTCCCCTGGGTCCTTGCGGTGGGTCGGGGCAGCCGGGCTAACCCTGCAGATAACGGCTGTACTCGGCATATTAATAGTCAGTAAAGGGCTGGAAAAATGAGGCTGATGGAGGGTAATGAGCTTTGGGAAACCTTTGAAGGTTTCTAATACCAAAACTGTGAATTTCATTAAACTTTTGTTTGAGTTTCAGGAAACATTCTTTTCCTTAATTTAAAACCTTGTTAATCTGAAAAAATGTAAACAGCCGGGTAAGCTGGATTCTCACTCAGACCAAAGCCTCTTTGAACAGAGCACTCCCATTTTAAGATGATTTTTCCCAGGCAGAAAGGGGCATGTTTCTTTATAAAATTACAGCCCCGGTATTTTTCTTCGCCGAATGGCAGTTGCTCCTGTATCACTGGTAAAGTCCTTGTTACCGTTTGTCTCTGTTCCAGTAGCTGTAGCTCTACCAAAACCTGCCAGAGTATCCAAAACCTGAGGTTTTCTGCTCAAAATGTAGAAGCTACAATGTAGATCACTGGGTGGCTCATCCTTGAGCTCACTCGATATGAGAGTGAGGAGGAAAACACCCAGGAAACCAGGGCTGATGGATCTGACGCACGATGAAAAGGCCCCTGGGAGCGAAGCGGAGGGGAGTCACGGCTGATGCAGAAGGGAAAGCGCAGAGGGAAGCGGGGGAGCCCTGGCTGCTTAGATGTGCCAACATTTTAGTTTAAAGCCTTCCACTGTTGCGGGGATGGGCAGTGCCTCCCGGGGCTCCTGGGCTGCTGGAACCTTGTCTTGAAGAACGTGCTACTGAAAAAGTTCTGGTTTGTTGCTCATCGGGGCACGGTGGTTTTAAATTTATTTCTCCCCAGAACAGTTGTTACAGCTCAGGCACGGACCAACACGCACGGTCGGCAGGTCGGCTGCTCTGGCAGCAGCGGGTGGTGAGTCTGAGCGGTGGGGACCCAGCTCCTGGGGCGGGGGGGTGGTGCAGAGACGTGCAGCTCGCGCCTTTCCTCCTGGTAACAAGCAGAAAAACCAAATGTCCCAAAAGGTAATGGAGTCCTAAAACCTGCGATGTCAACCCCGTGCGCTGGCTCTGACCGCACTTACACCCTCGCCCCGTCGCAGGCGAGCTGTCGGCAAGCGGCGGGGTGCTGCTGCTGCAGCGCTTCGGGAGCGATGTGGCGTACGGGCACGTGCCAAGGCACACCGCGATTTGGGAGCCCCCCGGGAGGTGCCCGGCCCCCCCGATGCCCTGCCCGTGGGGATGCTGGGGGACAGGGGTGAGGAGCCAAACCCAGCTCCCTGCTCCGCAGCCAGCCCCGCTTCGTAATGCCATCCAGAACAAGCACGCTCTTGTTTTTAACTGCTACTTTCTGGTGACATTTCCTTAAGTGAGAGAAGACGTACATCAGTGTAACCTTCTTCTGCAGGACAAGCTGACAAAATTAATGCTAATGCTGATAGCCCCCCCCTATTTTTTTTTCCTTAGGCTCTTTGGGTCACCCTGACCTGTTCTGCCTGGTCTGTTTTACATTTGTTTTGAATGTCGGTTTAAAGGCAATTGTTAAAAGCATGCATGCTATGAGTTTGTCCACAGTTATTTCTCCCATTTGAGCATATGAAAATGCTTCCAAGCTCCAAACAGTTGATTTTAACTGCCTGTTAATTACCAGTCGCTTGTAGGGTATAATAGAGCCCCTGTGACCAGCAGACCTGCAGCTCTCAGTATGTTTAATGGGAGGAGGAGGTGACACACTGAATACCTTATTTAGGACTCTCTGCTTTGGCGCAGAATAGCAATATGTCGAAGCACTTCATTATTGATTGAGATCACTCTGACCTGCAAGCTGAAATCCATTAAACAGAATCTTCTCTCCCGATCAACACTGTAAAGCCCAAGAAAAGGAAGAGAGAGGAAAAAAAAAAGTAAAAAAAACCCACAAACGATAACGCCGGTTTTGTGTGCTTGGTTCTGCTGGTGCACTGTCCTGCCTCTCCCACAGCACCAGTTCCTACTGCGAGCACAGGTGCCCGCACAGCTGCACGGATCCTGCCAGCCCCTGTGCATGGGAAGCGTGCTGCTGCACACACGCTGCACGGAT